TTGAAGGTAATGGAAAAACCAAGGGTTTTGTCGAATTCTTGTTGGCTTGTGGCTGAAATTGTCAAATTCTGTCCAGTCTTCGTTACGAGCGTGCGCACGATGCTCGGCGGTTCGGCGGTGACTCGGCGCCGATCGGAAACTGGCCGATCCTATCCGATTGCCGGCGCCTCCCACCGCTGAGCCGCCAAGCTTCATGCGCACGCTTCTCCGCTTGTAGCTTGTTTTTGATACTCACTGTATATGCGCTACGCGGTTCCAATACTGCCCAAAGCTGACCGAGCATAGTTAATGCTTCGTTACAGAGTCTTCCACGAGAAATTAAATAATTGTTTCGTGTGGAAATATTTTCATTCTTACATAGATTTGCTTCTACAGTTTATTCTTTTTTTTATGTACTAAATTACGTATTAAGTATTAAGTTATGGTATATTAAATCTTATATTAAGTAGTAATAAGTTCTTTGTTCTTTAAGTAATAGTTTAAGTAATAATTCTTTTTTTACATAGTATATTTAATTCACATATACATATATAACCTTTTTCATGGTTCCATACATATAATTTTCTTTGAAGTATTAATATTTTGTTATATTATCCTCTTATTATCTTTTACTAAAATGGCAAAGCATGTAAATTATCTTTTAGATATTCTTTTCTCTAACAAGTTCCGCGATATTATCGACGAATTTGGAAAGCCCGTCATTCCAAGTTCACCGATATATTCGACGATTAGTGAAATCACTAAAAATGATCTAGATAAAGCTCATCATTATTTAAAGCCGAAATATATTTATATTCTTTTAAAAAATAATCGATACGGTTTATGGGATAAAATTTTAGAATATCACAATGTTAAGGTCCAATCAAGCATATCTGATATTTCATTAAACGATATAAACGAATCACACGGTGTGATATCATTTAAAATTAATTTATCTTATGAGACTTTTCTAAAAATATCACCTGAACAGATATTGTATAAGGATAAAAATTTAGGTGAAAGGAGATATAATATATTACTTAGAAAGGTTTGGACAGACGTTTTATATAAGAAAATTTATGATGAAATAAAGTTGCCATGTGCCTTAACATTTAAAAAGTGCAAAATTTCTGATATTGGTTTTTTTTTTAACTGTACATGGCAATTGCAAAGAATGCGATTGCATTTTCAAGGGATGCATCATTAATAGGCCGTTATATCAAAAGGATGTAACCATGGAATGCACTTGAGAATTTCGATAATTTTATCAAACATAAAAAAAAGCGTCAATTGAAAGGAGAACGTCGCATTGAGATTTCTCGCGACATGCTTGATAGAAATATTTTACCATCGTTATGGCGACGTAAGGAAGCCGATAATGTTATGGACTTTGGAGACCCTGAACCACCATATTTACCCAACAATAATGTTCTATGTAAAGCAAAGGAACATGAAAAGAACAAAGATCTCGGGATAAGTTCAATCGATCCGATTCAAAATATAACAAAAATGAAATATGAGTGTCATACTGGAAATAATCATGGTATTGGATTTGATCCATTTTTTGTCCATTATTGGACCCAAGACCAAATGACAATTTACTTAAAAAATCCCTATAACATATGCGTCGATGCCACGGGTTCATTAGTAAAAAAACTCCGAAAAATAACTGGTGAACTGTCAGCACATATTTATTTATACGAAATAGTAACAGAAACGCCCAGTACAAAAATGCCAACGTTTCAAATGCTGAGTGAAGTGCAGAATACCAACGCAATTTTATACTGGTTTAATGAAATTATAAGAATAGGGAGTACTTATAAGACGAATTTCCCCATTCCCAAACAAGTAGTGACGGATTTCGATAAGGCTTTGATGGGGGCTGTAGTACGAGCTTTCGGCAATTGTAAAAACTTAAAAGATTACTTACAACAGTGTTTTTATTATGTCACAAATATGCCGTATCGTTTACCGTCATGTTGCATACGATTGGACATTGCACATTACATGCACGAGTAGCAAGAGTTAAGACATTTTATTTGTTATTAATGGGTTATTTAACAAAAATAACTCATTTTAGTGTTACGTCCCTAGGTGTAACCCATTTTCGTCTTTCGCCATTCCAAAGAGGTCTTGCTCTGGAATCCGCAAAACATCAGCATTTCCTCGCTTAGCGACGCCCGCGATACGAAATCGGAACTCGCGGAATGCGATGGCGAAAACCCTTTGCTTGCAGGTTTTCGCAAGCAAAGAGCGTGACCTACTCCCCTTTTGGGAGTATAAGTTATCGGCGCGACGCAAGTAACACAGTTCGGTGATAGCGTAAAGCAGAGACGAGGTTCTGCTCGTTCGCAACCCGCGTTTTGGCTAGACTCGAAACCAGGAAGATCACCAACGACGTGCTCGGCCGACGGTTCAACACGAGTGTATCCCCGAGGTCTGACGTTCCAGGCCCATAATAGGACAAGCTCCAGGAGTGCATCCGTGTGCTGTGCAGGACCACCACCAACCGCTTGCATCTTCCAAGGTCGAGTCGTAGCCACGCGCCGCGAGTCTAGTGTTCCGTCGAATCCGCGTACTAAGTGTAAAGCGAGACCTCTTGTGTGAGTGACCGACGCGTGCAAGAGAAGCAATTGCTGACGACACCCGAAGACAGCGAAGGGTATGTAAGACAAGCCAAATTGAAATACACGTACACATTCGAATAACCTAAATCGCGTATCTTGATCCCCGGTCTCCCATCCTATACCCCCTTATCTTCGAAAGGTAGGTCAAAGTGCGCCTTAGCGCTTTAAGCGGCAGAACCCGTATCTAGGATTTAGCATATAATAAACGCCCCGCAAGACGGGACGTAACATTAGTGAATTTAAAAATACAATACCGAATATCATAATTCTGTGTAATAGCGAAGGATACGGCAAAGAACAAAATGGATTAAACAGCCCAGGTCAAGACGCCTACGAATACTTAAGAGAAAGGATTCAAGATCCGAATTTATTAGTACTAACGGAAAATTTAACTGAATCTGAGAAGCAAATTATTATTGACGACGATAATGATTTAATTACTGATAATAGCAATGATAACAGTAAGATTGATATACGGGTAAAAAATTTATTTGGGGAAATTAATCAAAAGATTTCTAAAACAGACGGTGACATTAATATTTATTTTGCTCCTTCTTTGACCGACCGAATAAAAAAATTAGTACCATATTTTCCACTATATACTGCGGTGATGCTCGATATATTTAAATATTCGAAATTTAGTGCTAGCTCTGCAGCGGTAGAAGGAGAATTTAATGATTTGAAAAATAGAATATTAAAGAATGATTGTAGGCCAATGAGATTAGACAAATTTGTAAGCCTACACCTGAAATCATTTTCCGGGAAAGCAAAACTAGCTGCAGCAGATCGCGAAAGTGATTTTAAGGAAAATAAATTACAACAAAATGATAACATAATGATGGAAAATGAATCACAGCAATGTAATAACACTTCTTTGGAAAGTACAATAAAAACCGAAGAAAATTTCAATAATAACAACTCTTTGAGTATGAAATCGGTAATAGAAGCAGAAGAAAATCGTTCAAGTTCCCCCTCTGAAAAAGAACATGGCTTATTATTTGAACATAATTGGAAAAATAAAAATATTCCCACAAAAATAAAACGATCATATTTACAAGGAAGACCTGATTGGAATACAATAAGTATTGCCAAAAATCCTGTTGGAATTACGATTTTAAAAAATGGTAACCTTTGTACGGCGGTATCAGAAAAAAAATTAACTTACATAGTTCAAAACACTTGTGGATTTGACAGTTTAGTCCATATACTTGCAAGTGCAACTATGTTTGAATCATTTAATAACGCATTACAAACAGAATCGACAGAAATGTTTTCTTTTATCAGACAATACCTACAAGAAGGACCGACTAAAAAAATTTATAAAAAAAGGGCGGAACTGTTGAAAAAAGTAGAATATTTTATTCGAAATGGAGCAACCTCTGACATAATAATTATAGATGCTCTTTCCAATGTAAATACCTTATGTGAGCAAATATTTAGTAACAATCCAAGCTACAAAATTACAAATACATGCAACGAATGTAAAAATAGTAACTCTCGATCGGGAATTATTTTACCTGTTCAAACAAAAGTAATAGAAGAACATGGGTATGCAAAATTAGACGAAGCCATTACAAAATATGTCGCAGAAATTTACTATAATAAAATTTGTAAAACATGTAAGAAGAATCTCCAAACACACATAGAATATGGATCACATTTATTCATTGAACATAATAACAGTCAACATAAATACACTTTAAATAGCTTCATTGATCACATTATCTTAAATGACTGTGAATATAAATTAGCAGGAATAATAAATTTTTATGGTGGTATGTCAATCACGTCAGTAGGACATTATACAGCGTTTATTAAATGTAACGAAAACTGGACAGAATTTGACGATTTGAGCCGTAAGCCAAGAAGAATTAAAAGCAATGCTACAATAACTCCGCATTTAATAGTGTACATTAAAGTCTAACAAGTAACACTACCCAACTGATACTCACCGATTTGAATGAAATTTAACACACTTATTAAACACCGAAAAATATTACATACGTATTTTTTTGTTTCGGCTAAATACGCTTTTTAGGGGTAGAAAGCACCCCTCAACCTTTGGAGATGAAAACGTTTGTGGCTAATTATTTCTTAAAGGATACAGTTTCTGAAAATGCTTAGATCCAGAGTTGTACAGTTCAGAGTGATGCACTTGATGGCATCCTTGAAATCAAATTTCAGGTCGATTTTCAAGGTCATTTGAAAATCATTTCATGTTTATCAAAGGGAGTATTTTGCTTTTCATTCCGAAAATCGATAGAGCGTAAAATTTTACATTCGGAACGTAAAAAAAAAAAAAAAAAAGAAATAAAAATAAAAATTTTAAAAAAATGAAAATTTCTAATATAGCATGAATGTAATGTTCAATTTACAATTAGAGTGACATTTTATGTTTTCTTATTTTTACTTCTATTCTTAAGATACTTACAAAACTCTTTTCTTCTTCATATTTTTTCTATAAATTTGATCCTATTTTCCCAAAACGACCTCAAGATCGATTTCAAGGACGCCATAAAGTGCATCACTCTGTTACGTATCCGTCTTGGAAATTTCCTTATATGGTGTTACAATCATTTTACCTTTACCGCTCGAGGTACACAATCAAGTTACGAGACTTAATACTAACATTTCCGGCGGCTCTCTACGTTAGCCATACGTAGGTTCGTCTCCACGTCTACTTCCTTAGACTCCCAGTGTTAATAACAATACTGGTCAAGCCATTAACAAATACCATAACCGAAATTAAGCCCTGGCTACGCAGCCGCCCCCTCCGGTTCGTAACAACTCTGAACTGTACAACTCTGGATCTAAGCACTTCTTTCAGAAACTGTATCCTTTAAGAAATAATTAGCCACAAACGTTTCCATCTCCAGAGGTTGAGGAGTGCTTTCTACCCCTAAAAAGCGTATTTAGCCGAAACAAAAAAACACGTATTTAATATTTTTCGGTGTTTAATAAATATGTTAAACATTCAAATCGATGAGTAACAGATAGGTACTGTTACTTGTAAGAAACCTTTATCCTAAGTTGTAGAAGCATCGCTTTTTGTCCATCTTTATTAACTTTGTTTCACATTTAATTTACATGTGCCAAAATACATAACATAACAGAAAAAATATGTTTACTTCCAAGAGTAAAGTGCCCTTAAAAAATTTGTTTTGGCAAAAACCAAAGTGGTTCCAGGTTGTTCTATACTCATTTGATATTGTTCTCCATTTTGGTGTCGCTGACGCGCCGTTATCGATCAAAAATGACAAAAAAAGGGAAAAAGCATGTTTACTTCCAAGAGTAAAGTGCCCTTAAAAAATTGGTTCTGGCAAAAATCAAAGTTGTTCCAAGTTGTTACGTTAATTGTTAGCTTAAATATGCAATTCGGTGTTCAGAAGATGATAGTGATAGCCGTAGATGTAAAAATACTGTTTGCGCGCTTGATATCTTTTTTTTATTATATCTTTTTAAATTCTTTGTTTGGAGAATTACTACTTTGGAACAATGTTTGGAACAACTAGAACAATCTGGATCAATCACGAAAGATTTGATTTTCGAAAAATGGGGTGCCAGGTCAAGAAACAGTTTTTTTTAATTTTCCGCTAAAATATTTATTATAAAAATTGTATCTTCTGGAACAATTTAGAACAAGTCTAGAACAACCTAGAACAACTTTTAGAATTCTAAAATTTTCAAAATGGAGTGCTAACTTTATACAGGTCGTATTGCAGCCATAAGTAGTAACGACGACCGAAACGCATGTCTGGTGCAATGCAATCAATGCATTGATTTAATGATAGAGCGATTGCAACTCGAAAAGGACTTATCAACTGGTTTGAAAAATAGTTTAACAGCCAGGATAGCGAGATTTAAATCGTTAAGAGCAGAGTTACACGGATCTGTAAAAATAGGCGAAGGTCAAAGAAGAACAGATGCTGAATCACATGCTTCATCATCATCATCTCTTATCTGGGAGGATGTAGAATCAGCTTTCCATAATCGGATAATTACAGGAATTATAATCAACACCGAGCATATTGAACCACGAAACTTTTTGGAAGATGCTAGAAAAATAGTATTCCAACGTCTAGCGGAAGTTTTCCAAAATCATTCATGCATAAAAGTGAATACGGTGTTGTATGGGGAGTTTACCGTTAATAATAAAAGTGATGTGAAAAGTTTCAGTGTGAGAAATAAACAATTATTTTCTACATCAAACTTGAATGATTGGTATGACAAATACGTTGTGAACTCAACTTTAACACTGATGGAAGAATTTCAGGAACGGGACAGTGGTTGGGCGATATCGAAAATTCTGCATTTGATGTTAAATATCAATAAATGCAATCCGATGCATGCTGGTTGTTACACCGACATACCAAAAACAATCAAGGACAAAAGAGCGGTCGTAAATGTAACAGTTGACGATGATACGTGTTTTGTCAGATCAATAGTTGCAGCATTATATCCCGCCCATGTGAATGCAAATCGACCATCATCGTATCCCAACTATGACACCGTTTTAAATTTGGAGGGCATCGCATTTCCAATAACCCTTAATCAAATACCAAAATTTGAGCGCCAAAACGATGTTTCGATAAACGTTTATTTCTGGGACTTGAATGTGAAAAGGTGTGCTCCGCTCCAACTCACCACCAACAAAAGATTTCGTCACGTTAACCTGCTGATGCTTGAAATGCTCAACCGGAATGTGCGTCACTTTGCATGGATTAAAAATCTTTCCCGGCTTGTTTCAAACCAGCTCAGTGCATATAAGAGTAAAACTTATATTTGTGACAGGTTTGTATCACGCCATTACAATCTATTTTAGAGTATGCGTTTGTTCTTTTTGTACTAATGTAGTTACTTTGTTTATATGCAGATGCCTTCACTACTTTTATGCGGAAGAAATGTTATTGAAACATACGAAGGATTGCATGAAGATGAACGATTGCGCAATCATTCTACCATCGAGTGAGGATAAAATAATAAAGTTTGATAATTTTTGTCACCGAGAACGTCATCCATTCATCGTGTACGCCGATTTCGAATGCATGCTTAAGAAGGTTAACAGTAATATTAATCAAGGACACAGCAATGCATACCAGCAGCACGAAGCATACAGTGTGGAGTATTATTTTCACTGTTCGTACAACGCATCGGTGTGCGAGTATCGCGCGTATCGGGGTCCTGACTGTGCTGAATGGTTCGTGAATGAACTTGAGAACCTTGTAAGAAAAATTGCACCATTATTTAATACGATTGTGCCCATGACAAATTTGACGGGTGATGAAAGAGAAAGTTATATGAATGCAACGCATTGTTATATTTGCGAAAAACCGTTCAACATCGACGAAACAAAAGTTCGAGATCATTGCCATTTCACTGGTCGTTACCAAGAACCTGCTCATCAGGGATGTAATTTAAATTATACAAATAAACGTTTTATACCAATAGTGTTTCATAACTTATCGGGATACGATGCCTATTTTGTAATAAAAGAATTTGTAACGATTGCACAGTCCAACAAATTTGAACTTTTTTTGTGATCTGCAATATCCATTACGTGGTTGTTATAGGCTTTTGTTCACTGATTACGAATCTGCAAACCGTTTTGCTCCTATACGTACAGTTTTTGAGAAACAGGCATTTTTGTGAAACTGTGTGGTTGTGGGAAAAAATGCAGTATTACATGAAAACTAAAAATGCGAGGCAGTTTAGGTTTATGTCAAAAGATAGAGGAGACTTTCCTCTATACGTCTGTATGAAAAATTATATTTTTTGATGACTTTTAATATTTGTAAGTGCTTGTCAAAGTTTAATAAAATAATTTTTAACAAAAAATACAACCGACTTCGAAATGCACTAAAAAGTATGAAATAATTTCTACTTCATTTATACAAATACCCAACAGCTATTACTAAAACCTATTTACTCGTTAAATCGTATACTAAATACATTTCAACCTTTTCGGAGGCGGCGCAAAATTAAAAACTTTCTTCTACTAGGAAGATCCTAGTTCAGGCGTCAGCAACCTATCAAATCGTTATTGGCATCATCGTATATTCGGGTATTATTAATTTTGCGCCGCCTCCGAAAAGGTTGAAACGTATTTAGTATACGATTTAACGAGTAAATAGGTTTTAGTAATAGCTGTTGGGTATTTGTATAAATGAAGTAGAAATTATTTCATACTTTTTAGTGCATTTCGAAGTCGGTTGTATTTTTTGTTAAAAATTATTTTATTTCACACTTTTTAGTGGAACGAGCAGTATTTATAGGATGCCGTAAGGTGGTTTACCGTTCTTATTGGTTAATTATAACGATAGTTTTCAACGATAGTTTTCAACGCTAACAAGTTCCATACATTTTTGCAAGTGGGATCATCGCGGAAATATCTCTTATTCAATGCGAAATGCTGACTCATCCACCGGTAGAGACACGTAGGCATACGTAGAATTCAATGTAGTAGTAACAATAGTTTTTCACGAATATCCCGGAAACTAAAGCTTCCCGTTAATTAAGCATCAGGAAAAAGTTGTTCAGAATCATGCCCCCGACAATATATTAAATGATCATTGAAATCGTCCAACCTTGAGATTAAAAACTTCATGTATTTTGCAATAACAATGAAAAAATGAAAAATTTTTTCCTAATGGGACCAATCGGAAGACATACCCTACAAGATGCAAAAGGTTTCGTTTCAATTGGTCCATCTATCTCGGAGTAATCGGTGAACACACACAAAAAAAAAAAAAAAAAAAGAAAAAAAAAAATACATACTGATCGAATTGAGTAACCTCCTCCTTTTCGAAGTCGGTTAAAAAAGAGATGCCGTAGGTAGTTTGTTCGCGCTATTTTTGTATTTTTATGAAAAATCTTTTATCTAGCAGGAATTTACTATACAGGATTGCATTCTATGAACATTTCTGATGAACAAACCATTCATAGAAAGTATCGGTATGGTTCGGTGTTGGAACAAGTAAAGAAAATATCCATCGACAACGTGACTACGACGCGTTGCCGCCAGGCGGCCATTGTATGCCTACCTCGCCGCGCCAGTGCTGCAGTGCCGTAACTACGCGTAATCCGTATACCCACGGTATCCTTTAATAACTATTTGCTCTTTAATAGTAAAATTTGATTTAATTGTGATCTGAAATGACATGAATGCTATAACATTGAAATTTATAATTTTCATAAATTATTATAATCATATTTATAACATTCAATTCTATATACCGTTACTTCTTTAAAATCAAAATTTGGATATCACAGTTAGTTTAATACGAAATCATCTGTTTGTTTTTGTAGCTCATTAAAATTCTTACTGTCCGTGCACGTGTTAGGAACACAATTTTAATTTCCAACCCAGACGTGTTTCCTTGCTATCCGAGGATATAAACTTTACTTCAGCAGCATGTTTTTAAAATTTATATCGGGAAAAAACCTAAAACATAATTGAGTCTAAGCATTCAACTCCCTTTTTTGCTTGCTAGTAATGGACTCATCATAAAACGCTTTCGTCCATCTGCGACAGGCAAGGAGCAATAAAAATAAATAAAACTACCCGATCACCGATATCTGCCTTTCACTAGTCACGATCGATCCAAGGATCTCGGCTAAGTGCCGTGTCTTTTGACACAGTCCTCTTGCTAGAAGCTTTCCAGATCCTCTCCACTTCGTGGCATGATCCTTAAAGAATACCGTCTTTATACTTTAAAGCTGTCGAGTAACCCTTAAAGATAATCATCTTTAGAGACTTTCCTTGTTTTCCCGAACTCAGAGAAAGGACCCACATAACTTTTCCAACCTCTGTCACATCACTCTTAGTCCTGGAGTTCGAGACTAGTTTATCGGGATCGGATCATTATCGATCCTACCCTAAAATCCAAAAACCTTGTAACCGCAAAATTTACGACTTCCTTTAAGAATCCAGCCACCGGACCCGTACGTGACTCCGGCTCGCGCTTTTCCCGCCTAAAAACGTCCTTTCCTGGAAAAACCTCCCTACTACTCGACCACCACACCCCAATGCCAAGTATAAAGGCAAGCTCTCCAGAAGAGCAAAGTTAGTCTTAGTTCAACGTTAAGAGTACGGGAAACGTCTGTAAAGTGAAGAATAAATTCTCAACCAAATAACCCAGTCTTGTTATTTGCGATTCGACGACAAAGCAAAGCAACGTCGAGTCGCTTGCCTTTCCCAAACCTTCCCATATTTCCTTTCAAACAATCAATCGTATGGCACCCGATAGCAACGTGACTTCGAGTCACCAGCCATCGACAGGCGTATGGATTGCATCCTTGCAGACGTCCCTCTTGGGTCACACGTAGGCTAAGACCCTATCATAAATCGTTCGGAATCGAAATACGCCGGGCTAATTGCCTTCAACAACCCGTAAAAATAAGCTGTCGCTAACATTTTCGCCCAAGGCGTGTCCAAAGGACAGGACTCGTCCACCTCCCACATCTTTCAGTAATTTTCATTGGATAACATCCATTTTACAAGTTCTACTCAAAGCCCCTCCCTCAGACCAAATATGTATAAAACACTAGGCGATAGATTTCAGACAGCATTTTGAAATCTCTCAGCAAGAAAGAATCGTTAAACGGCAGCAAGGAAAAGAGAACAGTTTTTATACAATTTAAAGTGCAGTATTTCAGAACACACGAACATTACACGCGATATAAAAACATTTAAATTTAATAGTTACTTAGATTCTTTTAGTCATTATATGTATATATTATATGTATATAGTAGTGTATACATGTGTATATGTATATATTTTAATAGTGTGTATATGTGTATATGTATATATTCTAATAGTGTGTATATGTATATATTTTAATAGTGTGTAGTGTATATATTTTAATAGTGTTTTACATAGTACAATGTCGCGAAGTTGTATAAATCATCCAGACTGTTTTTGTTATATTTGCGGCGAACTTATATTCAAATCCGAACACAGGAATATAACACCTGCCATAACATTTGCATATGAAAATTATTTTCAATGCAAACTCGGGGACCAAGATAAAGATTGGGCTCCGCGTGTTTCCTGCCGCCGTTGTGCTTTCGTTCTTCTAGCTTGGTTGAGAGAGCTATGTGAACCTGGCATCCGACTTTTAAAAAATTAACTTTTTTTTTCATAAAGTGGTAGTATATCGTTTGTAGTTGATTGTAGTAAAAATATTTTCGTTTGTAGTTGGATCAATTAATAAATAAACAAAATTGAAAAATTGACCCGCACCCGACGTTGAGATATTTCAAATCGGTTTTTTCCATGTGATAGAGAATCGTTTGTAGTTGATTGTAGTAAAAAAAGTTTCGTTTGTAGTTGAATAGTTTAAAAGTTATGAGCAATTGTTTATCCGCATAAGAGGTAACTTATCACTCGTCAATTTTCAAGATTTTTGAAATCCGTTTTTTCCATCTAACAGGGAATCGTTTGTAGTTGTTTGTAGTGATTTTCCTTTCGTTTGTAGTTGAATAGTTTAAAAGTTATAGATGATTGTTTATACCCATGAGCCAACTTCGTCAATTTTTAATATTTTTCAAATCCGTCTTTTCCATCTGATAGGGAATCGTTTGTAGTTGTTTGTAGTGAAAAAAGTATCGTTTGTAGTTGAATAGTTTAAAAGTTACAGCCGATTGTTGATACTCCGAAGAGGTAACTTTCTCAATTTTTAATATTTTTGAAATCCGTTTTTTCCATCTGACAGGGAATCGTTTGTAGTTGTTTGTAGTGACGAAGTTGGCTCATGGGTATAAACAATCATTTATAACTTTTAAACTATTCAACTACAAACGATACTTTTTCCACTACAATCAACTACAAACGACTCTGAATCAGATGGAAAAGACGGATTTCAAAAATCTTGAAAATTGACGAAGTTACCTCTTACGCGGATAAACAATTGCTCACAACTTTTAAACTATTCAACTACAAACGAAACTTTTTTTACTACAATCAACTACAAACGATTCTCTATCACATGGAAAAACCGATTTGAAATATCTCAATGTCGGGTGCGGGTCAATTTTTCAATTTTGTTTATTTATTAATTGATCCAACTACAAACGAAAATATTTTTACTACAATCAACTAAAAACGATATACTACCAGTTTATGAAAAAAAAAGTTAATTTTTTAAAAGTCGGGTGCCAAGTTCACATAGCCGGTTGAGAGGGAATAGAAAACAAATGCCTTTTGCAATGCCAATGATATGGAGAGAATCAACAAATCACTCAACAGACTGTTATTTTTGTTTAACCAAAACATTTGGCTTTACTAAAAAGGGAAAAAACAAAATTACGTATCCCAGTCAGTACTGCTATTCGCCCGGTTCCGCATTCCGAAGAACTCCCAGTGCCAAAACCTCCTGCAATTATACCAACACTATTTGAAGACACCACGAAAGAAAAAAATGAAGACATTGCAGATTATTCCGAAATTCCATCAACTTCAAAGGAGCCACATTTAATAACGCAGTCGGACCTTAATGACCTTGTAAGAGATTTGCAGCTAATGAAGGAGCAGGGTGAACTTTTAGGATCGCGGTTACAAGGATGGAATCTGCTGCACAGTGCGACGAAAGTAACGCATTTTAGAACGTGGCAACAGGCACTGCAACAATATTTTTATATTTCTGAGGACCTCTGTGTTTGTAATGATGTAAATAAACTGTCAAGAGCAATAAGCTTTGAACATATAGCAAAAGAATGGCGGCTATTTACAGATTCATCCAAAACAAGCCTAAAAGTCGTATTATTACATATTGGAAACTTATATCCATCCATCCCTATAGCATATTCAACAAAAATGAAAGAATGTTACGAGTCCCTGAAGATTGTATTGA